ATTGGAGCTCACTGGTGAAGCCGCATGTCTCTGAGTCCAAATTTGTTTGTTCTAGAGCCAAAAAACAGTTTTTCAGGTGAGAAACCAAACATTTTCATCACAGTTGTTTTTGCATAGTGTCCATTGTGTTTGTGGTACACCCAAAATTGTGCAACCACTTTTATGTTTATTTAATTTAATCAGCTAAGAAGTAATTTTCTTTCATTTTGAGGGTTCGAAACTATCCCTAGCAATGTACGTGGCAGCCACGCTATTTTATTTTTATATACTGTGAAGAAATATGGTAAATGTAAGCAGCACCCATGTGGAACCTTGGTCATGGGAGCAGTTGCGCCCCCAAGTTATCTCAGGTGGGAATAGTCTGGGGCCGTTAGTGGCCGTTTTGGTAAGGAAACGGAACCAGGGCGAGTGAGACAGGATCCGGAATTCGATGGATGTGCCTTTCCGTATAAATAAAAGCACCAAGCTAATAAAAATGCGGTGAAACTTTTAATTTAAAGAATATAATTTACAAGAAAAGCCCCAAGCCATTAAGTTAATCGATTTTCTTACACCCCTCATCACCCCAAATCGATGGTGCGCCAGAATTTAAAGTTTTACTATGGTGAACACTTTTAGTTTGGTGAATTTGGTGAATACCGCATCCGCTCCCTAGACCGGAACCAGAATCCAGACAAAATTCAGAGTGAATAGACACCAGGCGAGGCTAAGGTGGGAACTTCCGCCCACACCCCAGATGCAACTTGGATGGCGAACTGAACGCTCCTGTCTTCATTGCTGCTTCACTTTATCTGTATTTTACAGGTCAGTAGTTGGCGAAAAGTTATCAATTTGAACTCTGTAAAGCCTTATGTATGTGAATTGGTATTATAGAGAAGCTGTGAAAACGTTTTGGGCATTTCTGTGAACTTTAAAAAACCGCGGGCTCAGGCGGCAGATACACACGCCGCATCGCGGGTGTTTGGGTTAGCTACATCCCGAGCATTGTCTTGCAGACAGATCGCTAGTGTCTCTCTTTGCTAGTGTTTCTCTTTGAGCTCCCACACACCATCACACAATACTTAGCCTACACATTATTATATACATGTAGAAGGTTACAGGAAAGAGTGGTTTGTTAAATGTTTATAGAAAAATACAGTTAAATGTTACAGAGCTACACTTTGTTGTAAAATGGTTACAGCCTAATAGTTTTACATTGAAAATGTTTTATATTTCTCTTTGAGTGGAAGTTATATTTAAATTAAGTGGGTATGTCCGGAATTATAGCAGATTAGAGATTGCTCGTTTAAAGTACATTTGGATACTACTGTTATTTGCACTATATCATTATAGTAGCCCTGAAGCACTTATATAAAGGTGATAGAGTGTACTAAAATGTTACTTTAAGTATGACACTGATCAGTACACCAGAAGTTTGAGCTATACAGATGTGAATGTATTATGTGAGATGTTACTGAATAAATGAGATTTGTGGATGTTTAGTGCACTTACCCTAAACAGTTATTTTGGACTGAAACAGAACTGAACAGAACTGAACTCAGAGGAATGTATGTATGTAAATCTTTTACTGTGAAATTGAATACAGATGCAACTTGGATGGCGAACTGAACGCTCCTGTCTTCATTGCTGCTTCACTTTATCTGTATTTTACAGATTTGTATTTTGTTGCTGTGGTACCACATTCTGGGACCCGTAACATGTTGTATGTACAATTGTTTCACTTACATTGGTTCGAGTAGTGGTTTCTCTAGTTTAATTTGATGTGTTTCATTAGTGCTAGCTTTGGAGCTAAATGCTAAAAACAGTTAGCTCTTTCATGGCTGCTAGGCATGGGGAGGGTTGTAACTCTTCGAAAGTGTTTATTGTTCAACTGTTAAAATGCTGTTCAAACAGCAACCTCATTCAGGCTACAACGCGCACACACACACACACACACACACACACACACAGGTTAATACTTTATTATTCTTGATTTTATTTATTTTATGTTATATATTTTTATTTATTTTATTGTACGTATTTTTTGTATGTTATACATTTATATTTATTTTAATATTATAATTATTGTATTCTTACAAGTTTATTGTTCCTTCTTTATTATTCATTAAAGTGCTTGAATACATTTAGCCTATTGTGAATCTTTTTTAAGCACAATAATTTAATTGTTACATCCACTCACCCCAGTACTGGGGTACCTTGTAACAATATACCTCTTTAAATTTTACATTAATTTCCATAATCTGTGATGGTGTAGTAGAGGTCAAAGTGTGTGTTATTTATAGCAGACAATTATGGGTACCACGTATCAAAATTTAAGAGCTCTAACAAAAAAACCCACTGAGTTACACTTGCTCAAACAAAAAGTGTTACAATCATCCCTGGTCTCCCCTACTGGCTATGCCCTCACCTACAAACATTTTGGAAACATCTCTTCCATTTCCTGTCTAAAGTCCTTAAAAAATCAGAACTAGTTACCTGTTGATGTTGCCTTGTTTGGCACTGTGAGTGGAGATGAGCCTCACCTGACATCTGTAGAGCGCCGTATGGTGACTTTTGCTTTGCTCTTGGCCAGATGCACCATCTTGCTCAAATGGAAGGAGGCTGTCCCACCTACACCTGGCCAGTGGCTTTGAGATGTAATGTCCTGCCTAAAATTTGACACTTCGCCAAAACGTTTTAGACCTGGGGATCCGTTTTGTCTCATTTTCACAACACCTACCTCACACACACTGATGTATACTGTGTGGTGCTGTGGGACGTGTTTTTGGCAAACTGGGATTAGTGTGGCATTTTCAGAGCAGACCTTTTGACTCATTGTGGTAAGAACACAGGTGAAACTAATTTACTTAACGACGGCTCAGTTCCATCAAGAGTTCCAGGAGGTCATGACACTGAGCCAGCATGCATGACATCAGCACTCTGGAGCTAACTCACCTAAATGAAATTAAGTCATTTTTAATGTTATATCACATGTATGTTTTTCCTACTTTTACAAACCAAAAGGTCTGTTTGAAGAAAAAGAGTTCCCCTCTTTCACCAGCAGGGGGCAGAGGTTATACTGTTTAGTCATGACTGTATCATCCTTTGCCAAGTTCTCTGTCCTCACAAAACTTTATAGTGTTACTTTTTTTCTGGGAAGTTAATACAGTCTGTGAGGACACGCAGACAGTGGTTCCCATCTGGCAGGTCATGGTCCAAAAGTGGGTCACAGGTCCTTTCTGAATGGCCCCCAAGTGACTCTCAAACATGTCAAGTTTGTAAAAAACACTTTTTTTTTTTAGGTACAGTGAATTGCAGTGAATTGAATAATGCACAGATACTTAACAGAGACAGGAAACTAGCTCGACAACATGGCCAAATGCACTTTGAACTAGTGACTAAGGAGAAATCTGGACCCTGTGGTTGGAGCAGTTGGGAACCACTGACGGAGACACCATCTTTGCCACGTAAAGGGAATTACTGTCTCCAGTCTCAGTGTAATACAAAGCCATCAAGCAGCTTTGGTCTTGTTAAGTTGCCATGAAATTTAACATTGAAGGTAGACTCCACCCCCTCAAACAACCATTTGTCTATCATTTACTCACGGTGTTTTGTTGAATTTGTGAAGAAAACTTGTGAATGAAAAACCCCAAAATGGAGGAAACAGCAAAACTATATCAAAACACCTGACAACAAACTCTCACACAACTCTAGCAGTGTAATCCAAGTCTCATTCACCCAGTCGTATCCTCAGTGCTTCCCAAACTGACAGCCTGTTCTGATGGCAAACTAAACTGAGAGTGAATCTTATCAGTGCTTGTAATGATTTTCACAGCCTGACCCTACTGATAAAACAATTCTCTGAACACAGAGGTCTACCGCAGCCTCAATCAGTCGTTTATTTGTGTTAATGTGTCACTTTGAACTTCCAAACAAACCCTTTAAATCCCCAAAGTCACGCAATATCACAACGAAACTAACTGATCAAGGCAGTGGTAGACTCGGATTATACTGCATGAGTTGTGTGAGTGTTTGGACACTGATGTTGTGATTTAGTTTTGCTGTTATGGACTAAGGATAGACCGATACATCGGCTGGCCGATATATCGGGCCGATATTTGAGTTTTTTTTTAACTTGTATCGGCATCGGCCAATACACGCGTGGGTTCGCGGATTAATTTTTCCCTGGCACTTTTTTTTATTTGAAAGTATGTGGTTAAGTTGAACAAAGCTGTTGAATCCTACTGTGTACAGTAGTTGTTGTTTTATTTATGCTTCAGCTTAAATATTTGTTTATTTTATAAAGACATTACTGGAAGATTTAAGAGCACTGAACTCTTTTTTTTATTTGAATGTATAATAATAATAATATTTTACCTGTTCTACCTCAACTTTCCATCTTGTTTTAGTATTTTTTACTGTTCAATAAATGTTTCTTATTTTAAACTTGAGACCTGTAATATTTGTTATCATTGTGTCATTTTTTTTTTATGTAAATTGAGGGAGCAAAAGCAGTATCGGCCCCAAATATCGGCTCAAGAAAATCGGCAGTCCATAATCGGTCATCGGCTAAGGGTGATGGAAAAAAATCGGTATCGGCATCGGCCCTAAAAAATCCATATCGGTCTATCCCTATTATGGACCCTTATGACTTTTTGGATTCTTCGTTCAGCTGAGACATGCCAGAAACACAAAGTTTTCCTGATGAATTCAACCTAACACAGGGTGAGTAACTGATATACGAATCATTTGGGGGTTGAAGTAAAAAGTCAGCCATGCAATTAACGAAGAAAAATGAGCTCTTCATATTTATTGACTTTAAAAAAAAAAATCTGTAAACTGCTTTATAAAGGCAAATGGGATCTTGTGAGCAAAATGAAAACAGACAATTATGTCTTCAAATAATGGTGAGACGAATTACATTATGATCTTGGCAGCGTAACAGAACTCATATTTAAGACATTAGATGCTGATTAGTTTCGTGCTTTAAGCTTCGTGTTAGAACCCAAATGACACACATCACGAGTTAATTTGGTATTTATTGTAAAGAACAAATGAAAATGCAAATGACAAATATTTTTCGTTCCTCCAATACATTCATAGAATGTCACTAAACACTCCACCTACTCGCATCTCTCCACACCACATTCAGAACAGAAACACCAACACCAGTTTGACTACGCGACAGCAGCACCATGCTCTCTGTCACCACAGCATCTGCTCCGTTGTACGTCTGCCTCTCTCGGATTATTAAATTAAAGACAATGGTACGCATATAACGCAAGATGCTCGTAGGATTAATGTTTATTTGCACTGCCCAGATTCTTATAGGCTGCGCTGATTAGTATTCAAGTATTCCCTTTACTGATTACTTCTGTGCTGCATTATACTAAATATCTGCCTTATGATGCTCTCGTCACATCATCATCATCATCACCGTCTGTGGATTACATTATGTGGCACAGTACAAGAATAATGTTTAAGTAAACATTATGTACATGTACTAAGAGAAAGGAAAGAGAGAACAAAATTTGTCTTGCAAATGTATATGCTAGTTTGTTTACAGTGCAATCCCCATGCAATACCACATGCAGTTATAGAGGGTGCATGAAGAATATTGACCATGCATGACCTTGCATACAGAGCCACCCCTGATTCTGACAGAAGCGCCCCGCTGTCCTGAAACCCCTTACATGATTTCTGTTTAATTCCAGTGAAATATTAACAAACATCCTGACTCTGTTCTAAGATGTGAGATGGTGATATCCACATGTAATGTAGATGACGTCCACCCAGGTCTGTCCTGTTCCAAACGCACTGCCTTTGATCGAATGGCGTGAGAGATAAAAGTCTTTCACGCCTGTTTTTTAATGCTGAACTCCACTGAGCCTCATCTAACTAGCTACAGCGTGCAGAGATGGTTGTGTAAACAGAATAAGTCTGAACCATCAGATAACTGGTTGGCACTGTTGTATGAAAATGGATATGACAAAAAGTCTTCATTATGGGGTGGTAATGGCTGAAGCACTGGCACAAGTACGTAAATCTTTGTGTTTTTAAACCATAAAAAAAGCACTGAAACAACCAGCCTTAAGCCTCTTGGTTTTACATTTGAAACTATTACAAAGGCCAAACAATCACTTTAGACAGGCATCAGACATGGAAAACATTTCTCAGTGTTGTAAGGAGTTGGATGTAACAAAATATTAACTATGCAATCATAAGTTGGTTTTTAAAAAGGCAACGGAATCAAACGCTGAACATATCAAGGCGGCTTTCGAAAAACTAGCAATCCCTGTATCCGTTTCACAAAACATTTGACAGAAGCTTCGGATGTACAGCTCATATAAAGATACATTTTTACAGTGAAAATTCAAGTACATGTTCCGTAAATCAACGACTGATCGCAACTTTTTTATTTGAACAAATGATACATTTGTCGTAAAAACCTTTGAACAGATTTGCTCCTGTGTTCAGTGTTCGATGACGAGCTGCTTTGTCAGTAGAATGATGCTTAGGAAAACAATTACAACATGAATCACCTCATACTTCTGCCCACTAACGACAAAACGCAATCCTTGTATCAGTGGAATAAATATGAAGTGTAATATTTGTTTAACAGCTGATTGATCATATGTAACATGAGGCAGAAGCTATTTGTATAACAATGCTTTAAAAAACAACAAAATGTTTTTGACAAATGCAGCCATTACCATCTGAAACACTGATTGTTGTATTTAATGTCATATCAAACTCATGTCTGCAGAAACAAATTCATTTAAAATGTAACAAAAGCATGTACTGAATTCAATTTGCTGGATAAAACGTCCAATTTCTTCATGGTAAACACACATAGCAGCATGCAGCTTGTTGGCAAAGTGTTGCCCGGGGGTAAAGTTGTGCCTAAAAGATCATAAATAGCAAGTGTGATCATTATATAAACGTAAGGTCACCTGACGCTGGAAAACTATAGGAGTGTCAGAACATTTCCCATCAAACCTTTTAGCATAAATGGACATGTCGAAGCAGTTGCCCTGTCGTCACGCTGCCTTTAACTTTCATTTTTTAAGGTTTGTATATGACAGATTCCGCATTAGCGATCCAAATCAGCTTCACCCCTCAACATGCATCGAACAATGTGAAATAAATATAATCATGGCTCCCACAAAACAGTGTTTATGCAATGATATTTTCCATTCTGTGAAATATCAGGCCGTGTACGCATTAAATCATGTGGATTTAAATATTCGATGAAAACTGTTGGCTCAACATTAATACAGAAAATTAATGTTCTTGCATTCAACATACAAACACAGCAGTGACATTCAGTTTCCCTTTTAGCATCGCTAAGGTACTCTGTACATCCTTTTCATTAAAAACGTTATCTTTAATCCAATCTGCCTCGACCCCAGCAAGACAAAAGACTACATACAGTGTACCAATGCCCGTTCAACCCTGCATTATATAAATCAACTTAAAATGCAACCAAGACTCGCAATATTTCTATAGACGTCTTAAAAGGCTGGCTTTTTAAATGAACCTCTTAACTGAATGACAGTGGGTGAGTGATGAACGGATTTATCCATCTCTGTGATTGCACTTGATGTAATCCCATCTTGTGTCTGTCAAGTCCCTGCAAATTAAGCTCAAGACTGACCATCATTAAGGAATCACTCAATGTTTTCGAGGTTCCCTAAAATCTTTGCCTCACTATCATCGACAGGTATTCACCATTTTTATTCTGGGACTCAGGGAGCAGTAATAATATAAAAACAAAACAACAAAACATTGAAAAGTCTTCTGTTGAGCACTGAGTATGTAAAGAACGGTAAACTTTTTGACAATTTGTGTTTGGGCTAACAGTCCATTGTCCCAGGACGAAACTCTTTTGTGTAGTGGTAAATTGTTCAAGAGAAAAATAATTGGCCATGCACACAGAGTATTGCTAGGTCATTTCATGGCTTAGGGATGGCCACTTCAACGGTCCATCAGTGTATCTCAGTGACTGTACCCGCTTTCCAGAAAAAGCTAAGTTTCCCTCATTTACATTCGGTCCTGTAATATCACTCCTTGGTGTGACAGGTGAGTGTCCAAGCTCCGGCTCCCCAGTGCACTGAGAGTGACATCAGTTTGTCTCCATTGTGGCGTTTTCTCACCACTGACACCCTGGTTCCCTTAATCCGTCTTCCCATTCTCCTGAGGTGCGCCAGCTTTGCTCTGGCGTGCCGAGCGCAGCACTTTGTAACAGCCGCGGGCGATCTTATGCATCCACATGACGTTCATGATGTCCAAGCAGATACTGGAGCAGATCCAGGCTACGCGGCCACCCCAGGGGACCTGGTAGAAGGCCTCAGTGCCATAGACCGCATACATGCGGATGTAGTAGACTGGCATGACGGCGATGCGGACCATGAAAAAGACTACTGCCATGGCAACGCCATTCGCCATGTTGGGCCGGGAGGACTTGGGATAACCTAGTACCTCAAAGAACCAGCTGAAACACAACACACAGTTTAGAAAACAGCGTCTATGCAAATATAAAAATGTTTAAGACAATCACGAGTAACTTAACACTTAACAACAACAGTTACGTCACTGCTGTCTGAAGTATGTTCGGTATGACGTCAGCTTTATCCAGGTAAAAGCTTTAAAAAGGATGGGTAATCAAATAATGTGAACGCAAAGAGAAGATGCCCAGAAATGTTTCATAGGGTTGCCCAGAAGGGGTCGCTAAAAATCTTGGGGTGGCACCAAAATCAAAAGCCATAACTGAATTTCAGGAGTTCCACAATGCTGCTGAAGTACTATATAGGCTTGTTGAAAACTATGTCAGTATGAGAGATAAGGAACTGCATACTGAGATACTTGGTTTCTTAGTTATTGTTACTAATTACCTGAAGTGCATAGACGGATACTGACAGGCCTACCGTTAACATTTTGAGTTCCACAACAATCCTGATTTAATGTTATGTATCTGTATACACTAGTGTTGTAGTACTCAAGATCAGTCTTGGTTTCAAGACGATTATTTGAAGGTCTTGGTCTCGTCTCGGAACTGACCACACTTTTACTCGGTTCCACATTTTATCGTGTCATGTAGTGTGGAACTCGCACTGGTCTTGACCCATTTAAGTCTTGGTCTCGTCTCGGCCTTGATACACTCTGGTCTTGGTCCGTTTAGGTGGTCTTGACAAGTGGTTCCCAACTGGTACCGCCAGAGGGTCGAGATTTCTCCTTAGTCATTAGTTTAAGGTCCACACAGTTAAATACATTCACCGTCATACTTGCGTTCGGCCATGTCGTTGAGCTCGTTTGCTGTCTCTGTCAAGTAGCTGTTGGTTAGTCACTCACTCTACAGCACTCTAATGTTTTTTACAAACTTGATATGTTTGCAAGTCACTGGCGGTCCATTGAGAATGGACCCACGACCCACTTTTGGACTGCAACCCACCAGTTGGGAACCACTGGTCTTAACTACAACACTGGTATATACATGTGTTAGGTGATTCAGTATTCTTCAAATAGGGTTGTTGCCCTTTTCCTTAAAAAAACAAATATACAGCCTTAATTTGAAGACGTACATTAATTGTAATGAACAAATGATTTACTGGATATAAGCCGATGCAGATCAAAAACAACTGAAACTTCTCCTGTATGCCAAACTTGTAGGAGAACGACAGTGGCCGGAACGTAAACTCGAATGGCCCTACTAGAACCAGTGTTTGATTTGTCCTTTCTGGGATACTGTAGAATAATATGACAGACCCGCTCAATATGAATTTAAAAACGGCTCATTCTAAGGTAACAAAAACACAAGGCTTCTTATGTTCAGGTGATTATACGCTAACGAAAACATAGCTATGAATATCATGTTCCCTTTCTGCCAATATATTCCCCTAAATCCTACACACTGGACCTTTAAGACCCAAAGTCCAGTTCATGAGTAAGCAGGTACGTACCGCTGGTTCACACATGGTGTAGAAAACTCAGCAAGCAGACGGAAGTTAGCAAAATAAGGCAACATTCCTTGGCCCTGGAAGAACAAGGTAAGAACAGGAAGACAACGAAACATGAAAGGGACAAAAACAAGACAGCGAGTCATTTGGATCAGCCGGCACGAACCTGATGCTCCGCCAGCTCCTCACAGTAACTAGGTAACTGAGGTATGCCTGCGTTTCCATCTTTGGAGATATCCATACAATATCTCATATTTCAAGACAAATTTTTACTGTGTGGGGACCTCAGGTCTAAAAATAGATGAAGTCGTCACCAAATATAGACCTATTCGGCAGGTCTAACAAAAGAGCCGTCTCCTTCAGGGCACACAATTAGTCTTAAGCCAAAATTAGACTGGTCTTTAATTTGACTTCCTAATGATTCATTCTCCTCATCTAGTGTGAGCAGAGGCTCGTCCTCGCTGTAACAAGGACATAAAGAACTGGCGATGTGCCAATCAACAGATGAACTCTTTTAGTTTTTAACCTGGGACAGTTGTTCATGATAAAACACATTTGTCTTTGAATCAAAAGGGTTCATTTCCTTGGGAGCAAGACTGTGCTGACCGTATTTAAGGCAATCATTGTGTTTGAGTATCAGATATCTTTTATGTGATGTTGGTATTTTTGCTTGACAATGGCAAAAAATGAAAATGGTTCATCCTCTTAGGAGTATGGCAATCTTTAGGATTCATATTGGAGAATACTCAGCCAATTTAATGGAAAATTAGCTCTCTTTTTAGATAACTTATTACAGAATTGAGTGTCAACATACTGACAGAAATCATCCCCTTGTAGCCATTTAAAGTTATATATTAACTTTAAATGTATGGAAATATGGCCCGTAACTCTAGGTGCTAGAGAGGTAGAATTGCTGACCAACACTGGGCTTGCTCATAGTGAGACCATTAATGGTTTTGCCTCATATAAACTTAAACTAAATAAGTGAATAAGCAACATCTTCATCATATAGCCTCTAAAAACCCAAACACAAGAAGCAATATGCAAAAATGAAGCATTTTTGCATTTATTGACATAATAATCACTGATGCATCCTTACACCACACTATATGCTAACTACTTCTAACTCACACTTCATCCAGAGAGCAGAAAACATCATGTAAAGACCACACAGCGCGGCAAATCATCCGAATAACATCTCGGTACTGAGCAAATATTAACACAGCACAAGCTTTGATATACTGTACAACCATACATACAGTCAGCCAGCCACTGTTTGAAGGAGCAATCAGAAGCCATGCAGAGTAAAAGCAATAACTGCCACACATGTCACTGTTCAGGAGATCAGGTCCCCAAATCAATGCTGTCTTGGGTGTGAGATCATCTTCAGCAGGTTAGTGCCTGAGCTCAAAGCCTGTGATGTTACCTGATCAGTAAAATACACAAACTACTGACAGTAGTTTTTGACCTGAGCAGAAGCCACTATGACGCTCTACATTAACTTGAGCTTGTATTGCTTTATATCCACTCACACAGTTTTCAGCTGCTGTTTAATAAAATGAAGATGATCTTACAACCAAGATGCTTTCAGGACACGCCATCTTAAACACCGCTGACCCGACCCTCCTTGCTTAATCAAGCACTCGGATCAAAATGGAGTTAAAATTGTGCCATTAGCCAAATACATTTGACTCAAGTGTTCGGACTGAAAGACAGCATTGTGACTTGCGTCTTAATTTTAACTGCAATTGAAACTGTTTGAGTTTGACTCGTGTTCTGAAACTGAATTTTGCATCCTAACCATACCAAATTCAGAACACAAGTCCAACTCAAAATTAAGATACAAATCACAGCGATCAGTCTCACTACAATACCCACGAAGAACATGTAGTTCAAAGTTATCTGGCTAGCGGCCTGGCTGTCACAGCACGTAAAAGAAAACTTACCGTCAGGGCTGTAAACAAAAGCTGGTCATTAAAACATACTTACTATGCGACACAAAGTTTTTGAACCATATGATGTGTTCTTTCCACCTAGCATTAGCATGCTAGTACGTCTAGGAACTGGTAAGTCCATACTGTGACTGGGCATCATATCTGCTCAGTGCAACACAACAGCAATAGTAGCAGACAAGACAGGAATAAGGGAAGTCCCCATCTAGATCGAGACCTGCTCTGGCTTTCTACATGACACATAACCCTTCTGGTAGTTTTTGCATGAACGGGGATGACACAACCCGACTTGGAATTGGTAGTTTTTGCATGTGGGGTTTGAAGAGGGGCTATTTATGTTAAAGTAAGCGGAGAACACAGAGACAGACAGACAAATATATTAGAAGAAGAAAAATAAATAAAAGATGCCACCACAGTTGGAAGCAAATAAGAAGCAACATGTACGACACTGAGAAGAAAAGCATGCATCTAATATTTACACAGCAGTTATTGTAATATCTTTTTAGTTACGCTACTCTTGACTGTTAAAACACACACACGCACACACACACACACACACACACACACACACAAAATACACATTATACTGCTATTAAAATAAATCATAGTTACTTCAACACTGTTTCGACCAAGACATTAGTGGCTGGTTAATCAATAGTCAAATCATATCAACAAGCTCGTGACATTAAGCTGATTTGTATTTACTTTAAATAAATTAAATTACGTTAAATTATATTAATTTGGCTGTGTGCCTCTGGGGTTTAATATTAATATTGAGAAGGCAGAATTTATTGTGTATTTGACATGAAAACTTCCACATAAACACACCCAACACATTAACTAAGAAGACTTTGACAACATATGACACATTCGACTGGGTACAAAACTAAATAAAATGAAAATGACATCAAGGATTAACCTCTCTTCTGCGGCTACAGCAGTGTGTTCCCTACCACTGTTGGCTAATTTCGGAGCATTCACTCTGTTATCCAACATGAATTTCGGCTCTAGTCTGAAGAAAACAGTCATGAGTGTCCAGTAACAGTATGGCCTACTTTGTCTCATTTACGAAACTGCCTTAGATACAGGGGCTTTCTCTGTTCCTCCAAATGAAAGGCTGGATTTACAGTTATGAAGCATATTTTGTTTCAAAGTTGTGACACTGTTTTAATCTTAGTATTATTGTTTGGACACAGATATGTGGGAGAGTAATATTCCACTTTAAAAATGCAATGACGACAGATAAAAAAACGGATGCATATGATATGTGCCACATTATAGAAGAAGAAATCTGTAAATCCAGCCAGTGACTGGAATGTAGATAGGGGGAAGATGTAAATCTGGACTGCAGGGTTTACACTTAACACGTGGTCCGTATAGTTTTGTAATTGTAATCAATTGCCAATGGCCTCGTATCAAAAAAGTTAAGATCAGCTAAAGTATAGGGTCTCATATATAGGCAAAGCAATGCACACTGTATGTCCCTTCGCATTTTTTTTCGGGGAACAAACTGATTTCCCTGTAAGTTTGCTTAACTCAAATAAAATAAAGGAAACTTTAAAGAGCATTAAAAACAGTAACTCTATGGTTGTTCAACGGCCCTGACAGAATGCACACAACATGGTCTTGTCTATCTGGTGATGCGCTATCATCTTGGGGGTCATGTGGATGACATTATCTGAATGTCTTTGTACGTTTTCCCTCATCAGAGAGTCTCAGGAGGAGTGTAAGGAGGAGAAAGAAGAGGCAGAACTAGGCTCCGGCACAAAGAACAGACAAGCGGAAGGTTATGTGGATAGGCAGGTAAGTAATTAAGACCGTTCGTTGGCATGCACAGTAACAAGAACAGGAAACCCTGCCTGTGTAGAATGCTTCAGAGCTGCCAGCATGCACACAGTGGTTACAGGTTAGCATTCAGCTGCGCTAAGCTCAGAGATGTTCAGCTTATGTCAGTTTCACAAAACATTTAAAGGAGGGGGAGGGGGTCAGTATAACAAACAGAAAGCACAGAGATTGTAAGGGCAAGGTGAGGGAGGAGGAGGAGGAGGAGGAGGAGGAGGAGGACGAGGAGGACGAGGAGGAGGGTCATCAGCCAGTACCATCGTTGAGCATTCCATGCAAAAAATACCATAGTCATTCATTTACATAATTATCAACAGATCCTGGCGACCTAGAGGGTTTCAGATTGAACCAAGAGTGAACAGCACTGCCCGTGAACGCTGAGGACACTAAACTGTCTCAATATCTCGATAAGAGCCGACTGTGTGCTAACTGTGCAGCAATAAAGAGTGAGTCACTAATTAGTACTTCAGATGAGTTGGGAAATTATTACCAGGATAATGACAGTGATACAGCCTTCACACCAACAAGGTGATTTATTCTATTATTGGGTCGGCCATCTTGTTCTTTGGTAAGAGGGTTTTTATAGTGCCGCACCAACGATTGCTTAACCTGAATGAAATGTCAAACCGCCGTAACCTTAACATTATCAGTGTTGTTCCTGCAATCATACTGAAGTGTAATGCAATTATGCACTGAATTACTGAGAGTATTATCTCAGGATTATGATAAACATTTTCATGGAACAAAACAATCTGCTGTTGTTTTTATGAATAAACATTTTAATGATCTTGTTTTTCTGAGTTTATTTTTTCGTTAATTCAGAAAAACAAAAGCTGCTCGTGTTTCTAAATTAAGGAGATAAAAATAAAGTTTTCATTAATTTTTTGTCTACTTTTGTTTTTCTGAATTAACAAGATCATTACCTCAGAATTATGAGAAAAGTTTTCGTGGAACAAAAAAATCTGCTGTTGTTTTTCTGAATTAACATTTTAATAATCTCATAAATTCTCATTTTACTGCATTTACAAGATTTTTTTTTTCATTAATTCAGGAAAAACAAGTAGAATTTTTTTTCCCAAGTCTTGTGTTTCTAAGTTACCAGGATAATAATAATAAAGTTTTCATGAATTTTTTTGTCTTTTATTTTTCTGAATTAACAAGATCATTATCTTAGAATTATACGAAAAGTTTTCATGAAACAAAAATCTGCTGTTTTTTTTTTTTTACTGAATTTACATTTTAATAATCTCATAAATTCTCATTTTTCTAAATTTGCAAGATATTTTTTTCATTAATTCAGAAAAACAAGCAATATTTTTTTTCAAATCGTGTATTTCTAAATGACTGAGATAATAATTATTAAGTTTTCATGAATTTTGTTTTTCTGAATTGACATTTTAATAATCTCATATTTTTTTCTGAATTTATATGATTATTTTTTCACTAATTCAGAAAACAAAAGCAGATTTTTTCAGAAAACAAAAGCAGATTTTTTTTCCAATCTGCTCCAGTGTTTCTAAATTTCCGAGATAATAATAATCATGAAAATTCTTTTTTTTTTCTCTGACAACGAGATTATTTTCTCGTTAATGTGGGAAAACAAGCAGAATTTTTTTTTCCAAGTATCAATTCCGTTTTTTCAGAAAAACAGGGCATTTTTTCCCCTAAGAAACCTTCTTAAAAATTCCGAGATAACACTCTTGTTAATTCTGAAAAACAAGAGCAGAATTTCCATGAAAATTTTTCTTACAATTCTGAGATAACATTCGTTAATTACAAGAAACGTAGCAGATTTTTTCCCCTCAACTTAATGCATTACACGTGTGTACACTCCTCACATCATTTTGACTGATACTTTTTAGATCAGTTGTTTCCAAGCAAGCTAAAAATACTCCCTCTTAGTCCTTATACATCTATCTTGATAACAAAACTGTGCTGGTAAACATGGACTCCTGCTGGAACACACACTATGTGTCATGCACAAAAATACAGCAATCAATACTTTAACTCTCCGACTGGTGTGTTACTTTCTATATAAGTTTTTCTTCCACTTCCACTGAAAGCATTCAAGCCAAAGAGGTGGACTTTAAACTTCCATAAGGTGTCCTTCCCTGTTGTGTTTGTACAGTCTGGGGTGCATCACTTCTCCCACTCGCTGACCTTGTCTTGTGCATATTTAACTAACAAGGGGTGCGTGGCCGCGTGGCGACAGTCAGGGACACTTACTGAACAGTGGCTAAATCAAGTAAAGGACCCAGCTTGACAGGACACAGCTGTTCACCCTTGGCTGTCTCCTTCCCATCTTGCCTGCACGCTCTGCTATTGGACAATAGGGCACTCACCAGTACATAGTAGTAAGCATACAACGCTGCCAGATGGTGAATTACAAAAAACTTGTCGCCTATCGCCTTCCAATAGTAAAATATTAGCAGCAGATCTGGAAAACAGAAGTACAGGGGAAAGAGAGACACCATGTCATTAGCGTTATCACAACATTTAACGTACATACAACTGAAAAAGATCATACTGTAAACTTAAACGCTTTATTCAAAAATCGTCTGTGTATCTCTTATTTTATTTCCGACCCGCAGCTGAAACACATCTTTCACAAACGTTACCTGGGTAAACTGTATGTTTGTCTTACCAGATATGAGGTAGCCTGTTGTGATGGCAACGTTAGTCTTCACCAGTGTAGGATCTCCCCTATTGAAAAAACACATTTGGTTAAACTGGGTTTGTGTGATTAAATGTTACAAGTCCTTAAAGGGACAGTTTGACATTTTGGCAAATTCACCTATTGCCGTAATCCCTGTAGTCATATGAGTAGGTACATTACCTTTAATTGTCAGTGCCGGCTGTTCTGAGATCGGTGGGGCAGAGCTGCCTGCTGCTCAGCGCACAAAATGGAGGTGAACAGTACAGCCCCCTCTCTCCCTCAAAACTAATCAAATACACCATCAAATGACTCCAAAACGCTCTAGTGGACAACACACGGCTTGCGCATTCCCCACGCTATGAAATAATAATGTATAATTAAGTAACATTACGATACATGAAGCAAATACTTGGAACTACTTTCTTGAGTAAACCACTGGGCAGAGTGACACAGTGCGCACCTGAGACAGTTGCTTGCAGCCTTGCATTTGCGGTATCGTCAGCTGGACGCAGCAGAAAGTTTGAGAGAAGTTTACAGAGTGTTGTTGTAAATCATGGTTTACACATGTATTGTAAAAGGTTGCGGTATCAAGCCGAAGACATGGAGCAGAGTGACGTATACGGACAGGATGAAACAATGGCTATTTGTGTGGACATCGATCCCAACACGCCTGTGGAAAAGGTCCAGAAAATGTTTGTTTGCTTCAACCATTTTTTACCGGAGGACGACGCTGAAAGGATGGAGCACAGAAGCTCAGGAATGGTTCAAACGCTTTTCTTGAAAGATACTGCCATAATGAGCGTTGTGTATTTTGCTCAGCAATCTCTCTGCTGTAACATTACCTCCATGTTGAGTAACATTAGCCTACAACCCAAGCATGGTAAATAAGGCTAAAATGCAAATGTTGTTGTGGTTATGTTATGGATAAGTGCTTGCTCAGAGCATATAGTGAAGTGACTGGCATTACTTCTCATTGTTGGGAATAAACGACTGCTAGGGAACATTTTATGTTGTTGTTCCTTCAGGAGTTGTGGTGATTTATGAGTGTGGAGTTAGCATGTTCTCCCCATGTTCCAGTGATTATTTTGAGGCGTACTCTCGTCCCATCCCACCATCAACATATGTATGTAACATACAGTCACTGGCCACTTTGTTAGGTACACCTGTGTAATCTAATGCAGTCCAGTAGAATGGCTATACCATGATTTTTTCCCCGAAGCTTATAAATTTTTGGTTATTGTTGACATTGACTAGAAAGTGATGATTCTACTTTGTTTATTATTGAGGTCATAGTGAATGGTGGTGGTGTACTGGGGTGGCCTCCTAATTTTGTCTAATTGAGAGGGACAAAATATTAGGAACACTTTTCAATATATTGCACTCCAACACACCAGCACCACCCACTACGACCTCAATAATAAAGTAGAATAATCACCTTTCTGACAATGTCAAGAAAAACTGAAAATGTAAAAGCTTTGTAAAAGTAGAATGTGTGGCAGAGCTGTTGTATTGGATTGTATTAGATTGCACAGGTGTACCTAATAAAGTGGCCCTTCCAAAACCTGTAACTCTTCCTCTGTATATTCTGGCTCAAATAAATAAGGTTCTAGGTCTTGGTTAATATGTAAGAATATAAAAATGAATAAGAAATCATCATCGTCATCCACCAGAAAGTCCGCCATGATCAGCAGTCGGCTTCTTCTCAACAAACTTGCTTTGATGACAGGAGTAACTCCACTAAACAAACGCTGTTTGAAATCACTCCGCCCAGCAAGTACTGTATGTCTGGAATGTAGTTCCGGCTCTGCATTTGGCTTCAAAACAACTCTGTCTCGTAATATTACATTATTATTTCATAGCGTGGTGAATATGTAAGCTACAAGTTGTCCACAAGAGCGTTTTGGAGTCATTTGATGGTGTATTTGATTAGTTTTGAGGGAGAGAGGGGGCTGTACCATTCACCTCCATTTTGTGCGCTGAGCAGCAGGCAGCTCTGCCCCACTGGTCTCAGAACAGCAGGCACTGATAATTAAAGGTAATGTACCTACTCATATGACTACAGGGATTACGGCAATAGGCGTAGACAAAATGTCGAACTATCCCTTTAAGTGTAGGTGTTGGAAATATCTGACTTTGCTGACGACTTGTGGCTGAATCAGTAAAGAAACTGAGGTAGACAGCATCTTAATACATAAACCACTCCCAACCTACAGGGGATTTCACATTTCCATAACGCAGAGGCAGATAACATCAGTAAACTGTCATGCTTTCAGTACTAGAACAGCACAGTTCATATTAATACAGGTGAAACGCTTACCGCTAACAATTCTTGGAAATTTCTGATGTGCGTTTGATTTCACACACAGAACATGCAAAACCATTTCTAGATGTTATCAGCTGAAGCTAGTTAGCTCGCTCCTTGAGTTGGCTGAAAACTGTCTCCTGTTGACTTTATAATGCTTTCAGTGACATTCTTTTAAAATGAGAACCATTAAAAAAGGATCTTAAACATGCACTAGACATCTACATGCACAATACAATGCTAAGAGGTTAAAGCTACATGTCAATATCTCACAATTTGGTGATCTTACATGTTGTTCTTATCGTCGAAGATAGTGCAAAAATATTACGAAACATGAACAACTCTCCCAAATCCAAAATTTGAGTGCTAAAACTCAGATTTGTGATGCTATAGGGTATTAAATCTGGAGCTGCTCCACTGACAATGAATTGGGAAAGATGTTACTTGATGTCACTTGAGAGCATCCATGGAAATGTTCTGATTAGAGCTGCCCCCGACTAGGAATTTTCCTAGTCGACCAATAGTCATCATTTAGGGCCATTAGTCGACTAGTCGTCCGCATGTGTACGATATTAATTTAATGATTAAATGATATATTTTGGTGGTTTGAGTTGAAGGTGTGAGAAAGAATAGTATCAGTAACATTGTTAACACTGTGCTACATTATAGAGAAATACAAAACCATACTAATGAGCCTTCATTAATATAGGCCTATATTTTATCTACAAGTGCACGTCACACACTGAGCGAGCCGCCTGTTAATGACGCTGTGGGCTAATGGGCATGTAGCTACTTCCATGTTTCAGATGATACGTCATGTTTGTAGTCGACCAATGAAGATGAGTTTACATATCACCTTGGGTTCGTCTTTCACCTTCAAAATGATCCCACACTTTGGATTTCCTGCCCGACATGTTATTAACTAGCCTGTGGAATAACTGCAGGTACCAGCCCTGGAAATTAACCTGACTCCTGTCTGACTGCTGAGCATGGCCACTTCCTGTGTCTGTCCTTTCAAATTAAACTCCCACATGGTCCAGTTAAATAGGTTTTGGTTTATTTTGACAAGGCTTAGCTCCTAATAGAGTTTCACCTTTTTTTTGTTTCGTTTTCTGAGACTAAGCAACCAGTGAATTCTTGCCGACTAATGACCTTTCTGTTTGAGTATTGGGGGCAGCTCTAGTTCTGAGTATACAGGTACATTTTCTGTGTTAGAACTGAGAATGCTGGGAATAAAAAAGAAAATACAGTCTGTGTGGGTCCACAAATTCAGTCTCCCATTCACTGTCCAGCTCCAGACTTTACACCCTATGACATCACGTTTGAGGCTTACCTCTCTGGTTTCTGGCTTTGAGAGAGAGTAGCTCATGTTCACAAATACTGATCGAACTTTCCAAGGCTATGGAAATACCATACTGGAATACTTGATTCAGGTGGTGTTCCCCTTTAACAATAGTCTAACTGCTAACCTAGCCATGCTACAGCTGCTTAATTGCAGCTTAGTATACTATGTAGAGGGGTCCCTGCTCCACCTTTCGTTCAGCTCAGGGGTCACTGGCCTGAAAAACATTAAAGAACTTTTCACTGTATGAGATAAATAACATATGACTTTTGACATATGTAATACTATCTTGGGTAACAGGTTTGGCCAGGGTGCCGGAATGCTGATGTTATCCTCGTGTCCTCATCTCTGATACAAGCATGTGTTGGCTCCTACACGGTGGATGCCACAGCTCTAAACAGGGCTTTTGCCAACGTAACCTCTTAACCCACATAACAATGACGTTAGCTGTATGCTAACGTGATCTCTTGGCCTTGGAGGTAATGTTAGGTCATGATCAAACAAAGCATATGTTAAAGCATGCAAACTCACTGTCCAAACCATTTCTTACACGATTGGTTTTGGTTTTTGGAAGAGTAAAAAGGAGACGTGATGTTCTCTACTCTTTGAATACCATGAATTCGTCTTACTTGAACCCAACTGACCCTGCTTCAACATGTAGACAAGTCAAAAGCTTTGCAAAGCTATGACTGGACATTCTGGCCATTTGTGGGAAAAAATGACATTCTGTATAAAATAATCAAAAAAAGAGTTCGTGCGATTCACAGCCAAACTCTCACCAGACTGGGTCTTCATTGACGGCATCATCGAAGAACAAGATGTAGAGACAGAAGATTCCCACTAACAGCGCATGAAACGTTGACACTGTCCTGAAATGCAAACACATACAGCCTTGATAATCCACTCCTGTCCAACAAGGGCTGACCGACACATGTCAGAGATTTTGCGTTCAATAAGCTTGCCAAAGAGTATTTATCACATTTCAGAAGTGCCTTGGAGCTGCTCTGTGGTTTACACTGCTGAATTTTTAGTACTCACAGTGAATCAACTGATTGCCTGTCAGGGCTGCACACAGATTCAGACCAATTAGACTAAGAGATTAAACACTGCTGAAGGGTCAGGCAGAGCAGCACACAGTCCCAGTCAGTCACCGAGGCAGTGAGACAGTCCGACAGTTCTCAGCAATCAGTCAGCGAGACACAAAGACAGCCGCACCGACTGTAAGACAGCTCTGGCAGAATCTGTAAAGTCATGGGCCTCGACAGGGATCCCAATTGCCCGGATCCATCGCTGCTAATCATTCACTTTCATTTGCTCATAAACCATGTGACCATTTCAATTTCACAAGTGCTCTCATGAGTAATAAACTGCATATGAGAGAAAATGAAAATGATTGATTCACACAAGTTGGACGAGGCTGGATCACTCCAAACCCTCTTGTCCACTGGACATTGGCCTTCAGTCTACAGTGCAGGCTTTTACTGTGCTCAGATCACTGCAGCCTGTCTGTCTCACTCAAGACACTTTTCGTTCCAGTCTTGTTGTTCTCGCCAGTGTCTGCAATGTTCCCATAACAAGTTAGCAGATAAAACAGCCGCACGACAACAGATGACACTTGGTTGTTGTTTGATCAAATTGTCTGTTCATCAGTTATCAAGACTTTGTCCCCGAAGCATTCCTACGTGTCTGTTCAGACTGAACTGTGAAGATAAAACAGTAGACTGTGGGTTCAGTAAAATACCATGCCCGACAGGAATGGTGGCATCAGATATGAAAACTTTTTGAAAAATAGAGATAAAGTTTTCTTTATGTTTTACAGTCTGTAAAAACAAAATATGAACTAAAGTTAAACGTTGAAGGGATGAGGTTAAAATGACAACATGCACAGAAGTAAGGGTTGAAATAACACTCCAGGTCCTGTTCCACTGAGTTTTGACCATGCTGTCGGCACCTTCCAACAGTGCCATGTGGAGCAAACATTGCAAAACACACAGTGCGTCCTACTAGTGAGTCAGATACTTGTGTCACAGGAAATATGTGGGTTGACTGCGACAAACCCCCCTCGGGCCGACATCTGAACTGAGAGTTGTGTCACACTCTCTGCTGTACATGTAAATAATATTCGGAGTCATTGCAATAAAACGAACATGTCGGGTCACCTTGAGTTCCATTCCACCTTCTGCTTGTCAGTGAGGTTGAGGAAGCCGGAGCTGATGCGCATGGACACCCAGGGGCTGACTTTGTGGAAGAGCCACTGGAAGGTGATGAAACTGGTCACCGAGATGGTGAGAATAAGCTGGCTGAATGGGTCCATGGCCACCCAACCCCACTGTGGGAGGAAGGGGAGAGATGGAGAAGGTAAAGGTTAGGAAGAAGGCTGGGAGAGTTAGCCATGCTCCGTTGTTTCATCACAACATTCAGAAAACAGCTACACAGAAACACAAAAACGCATATATGTACACCATTGTCCCTGAAATTCATTCATGAGTTTATACAATATCCCACCCCTCACCCACTCACCCCTAACCTGAGGGTAGCACACACATACGGACGACACTATGAATGAAATCTCATCTATGCAAGCGTAGAACGTACAAGTATGAAGATGTCCACATGAGCCTACGTACACACATACACACTCACACTTTCACTCACGGAAAGCAATCTAAAAATACATATCTTAATCATATTAACAGTCACAGTTCTTCTAAATAAATCTTGCATGTTGTCGCCATCCACTGGACAACCAACAATAAAGCCACGACATCATCTGAAAAAATACATTACAACAAGCCTGCTAAAATGGGTGTTCCTTCCTTCCTTCCTTCCTCGAATTTTGTAACGTTACCTTTGTTAAAGTTGCTGTTGTCCTGGACTTCATATGAGTGGCTGCTAGGCTAATTTATACAATGTAAAATGCCATAGGCGTGTGCTAATAACACTAGCATGTTGTATTTGTGGGGAAAATGTGTCCAGATTAAGACAAGTGTTTGTCTGTGAATGCTGCAAGTTATAGTGACGCTGATTTGTGTACTTGTGTTTGAAATTGTCTCTGTTAAGCCACGTTTAATGTGTATTTAATGTGTGTTTTGAATCAACTAAACTTTACAACACTTCACAGAAACTTCCGCCGCCAACTAGTGTTGTGGAGGTGTAACTGCAGAGTGACACAGGCACACCACCGCACAAGTAAAAATGCATAGGGTCTGCCGCACAAGTAAAAATCCCCCTTATAGTCCAGGGACCAGACCAAATTTCAGTAATGCATTATGAAAATGTCCATGTCTGTAGATGATATTTTGGTATGACAGACATTCCTGAGTGACAGCTGTGTCACAGTAACCAGCTCATGAGGTGAACCTACCACGAAAGTAAATTGCATTTTAGACGCTGGTGCATATCCTGGTTTAGGCTCATTGTCGGGACATTTTTTAACATTTTATAATATTGTGTTTGGTGTCATATTAAAGGGGACCTTCTTGGTTTTCATTCAAGCCTAATTGTGAATCTTTCTGACAAATATTGAGGCAACTGTAGCCCTTCAAACAGTCACAATGATACGCATTTTTCCACAATTTTCGCCTAAATTATACTATCTTTCAGCCCTCTGGCAACCACAAACATCAGGGACACAAAACTCGTAAACTGGAGTACTCACATGACTCTAAGGATTCAGGAAGTGCATATTATAAAAATACTATTTCATTATGAGACATTATTGTGAGCGATAAAATAGAGGGGCATTATTACTAAGAAATTAACTATCTGGTCTTTATATATTTGTTTAGATGCACAATGAAAATACAGGTTACTCTGGATTATAACAGTGAGGTAAATAACTACTTGTATATTATAAACCAGATTATAAACGTTAGAACATTATCATAATATTATGAGGCATAATAACAATATTAACTAAATTATAATGGTGTGAGAAGTTGACATCCTGTGGGTGCATGGTTCTCATAGGACGACCACGACATATATACATATATTATAAACAGTTAGAGTTCAATATCGATATATTCATGTACTTCTGAAGCCCCATTTGTAGTTCGTGTTTCATACTAATTAAGACTGGCTGCCAGGTGAGCAGGAATTGGACCATTCGTATGATAACCGTTCAAGTCGAATTAGATTCAGGAATTTTTCAAACCAGAAAGAGACATCTGGAGATTTATCACCGATCCAGCTGCTGCTTTCTGAATTTTTGAAATGTACACTCACTATGGAACGCCAATAATAATAGTAATAAAAATACTGAATGAGAAAACAACTACACTGCAGAAAAAATGCATTGATAGTTGGAGCTCTTCTTGTAGTAAGACTGCCACTGGCCTTAACCAGAAAAGGTGGATCTTACCTCACAGGCAAAGAGAGAAAAACTACCAAAGATAATAAGCATCAACTCTCCTCCATCAGCTTCTTTATGTCTTCAGAGCCTCTACAGTAGACTAACTGGCTGAAAAATGTACTAAGTTGAATTTTAACAATGACAAGACCCTTCCTGGGTGTGTGTTACAGAGGAAGTGTGGCTCGTCATACAGAAAACAAAAGTTTCGAGACACTCTGTCTGTACGCTGAAACCAGTCATTGTGGTTTCAGCACAGCTTCTAAAACCACACACACCTTCTTTCCCAGGAAGCTCTGCGTCAAAAAAGGTCAGATAGAGACCCAGTAAACTGCAACAGAAGAATATGCTTTTTAACCCACCCTGGACTTGGCTTTGTTTACTTAAAAACACACCCAAGAGGCAGTGTCCAATCTCCATCAAAAACCTTTTAGTGTCCTATTTTACATATTAAACCAAAGCTACAGTGTGTGTGCTGTAATGACTTCCTCAGTGAAACAAACCCAGAGTTTCCTTTAGTGTACTGCAGGGAAGAGTGTGTCATCAAATTAACATCCACCTTAATAGGGTTAGTCGCAAAGAGCTTCCTGGATTCCTGACTCAAGAGCTTGGGCAAGAGCTTGTTTGTAAAATGATCAATGGCTAAGTATTCCTCTTTAACCAGCAGCTACATGTTAAAACAGAACAAAGTACACAACTTGGCATCCACGAGCATGTGTGCTTTGAACACAATGACAACCTGGTGAGTCACCATGTCAAATACAGACCCCGTTTACATAAGACAGTTACATGAAGTGACACTTGGACGATCCTCGAACCTGAACTTCAGCCTGAATGGCACACAAGAGGATCCAAAGTGACCAAAAACTTTGGCATCTGCTCCTGAGCCATGCACACAGCTGCTGCGTTCACTGCTGCTGGTTGATATGTAACATGCAGGAGGAGTTCGGTGAGTTCACGCTACACACCCAGTGTGTTTAGGAATCACTTTAACGCTGAATATTTTGGGGAACATATAGCCTCCTTACAACTTTTGGAGGATCTGATGATGTTTCATTACATATATTAGCCTGTCCAGTGAATGAGCGCTTGAATTGTATCAGTCAGAGCATCACTGAAGCTGCTCCATTATTTGCAAATGCATGAATCCCACTATATACAGAAGGAATATGTAGAAACAGAATAAATAGCCTTACTCCTGCTACATTGGTCCAGTTGCTTTTTCTGTTCTACGGGATTATGGGAGACTGGTGCCAGAGCTTTTCTGAAAGAGCATCCAATTGGACACAGGTCAGCCATGTGTTGGAAAATGAGAGTGGAACATGGGTACATGGTGTAAAGGGAGATCGCTGCAGGATGGGTCAATAAAATCCATTTCACACTGATACATGATTTAATAAAAAATCCAGGTCTTTAAGTAAAACTGATGTGTAGTATAACTAAAGCCACCTGAAAATCTGTTTCCTCGTGTATCTACATTTGGATCAAAGTGAGTGTTCTCTATAGGACAACAAAGCTCCAACGTGATCAGCTCTACATGCATGCTGGCTCATAGCCAGTAAATGTATGTCAGTGACAGCGGTCCCCTCCAGCCACTGTGAGTACAGACCACTGAACTGTTTTATGAGTGTTGCCTGGAGCTATTTGCGTAAGGACTGATTTGACTGTCCCAGCTCTTGGTAGGAGGCCAAGTCAGTTAACTTTAGAGACATATTTACATCTCCCAAGAAAAAGAACAGAGTATCTCCCAGCACAGGCGTACTAAAAACACACACACCTCACTCCCTGGAGCTCTGGCCTTGGTGATTTTATACCTGCCTTTGTTCCTGCGTTACGCCAAAGAAATGCTGGAGGACAACAGTGTGTGCCTGACTGAAAGACTTTAGCCAAGAAAGAGTCACCAGGGAACTGAAAGGCCAATTCCACAGAGTCCTCTCCTTTTGCCTGCCTGTAATGCATTAGTGGGACAGCATAAACACTTTCATGTAGCACGCTGCAAGGCAGAAAGACTTTTTGTTATAACATAGAGGGGTACTTTAAGAGCCCATGTTGTGTTTTAACTGAGGAGATATATGTGAGACTACCCTCAGCCGTGCAGGGGAAGGGTTGTTTGAGATGCACACATGTTTGTGTCCTGCAAGCACAGTACACTGTTGCCAAGGGCAAATGGTTACTGAGGTCGCCTTAAGGATACAGAACGGCAACAGCTGAAGCACACTGGTGAGTGTGCACCACACATTTGTTGAACCGTGTGTGTTTCTTTGGCAAACATTTATAAATTTTAAACCCCCCGCAGCAAACAGTGAATTTGCGAAGGTTCTAATGGGCTGCTTGTACACTTCCTGTTAAGCTGTGAATTTCGTTGGTGTGGTTTTGTCGCCCTTAATTCGAGATAGACCTGAGGGGATGCACAAAAAGGGGGCAGAAACTACAACCTCCGATCAAGACTGTACTGTACTATCAACAAATAACACTGTTTAAATAGGCTTTACTGTTAACGATCGCAAACACACCCTGAGGTGTTGGTTTTTCAAGTGTAAATACTGACATTGTTGTATTTTTATTAGCAAAAATGACAATTACAAAATATGGGTCTCCGATTGTTTCTTTTTGTAAAGGGTCATGTCTTTTAATATTGAACTATAATCTCCGATCAGGACTTATGGACGGCATCACAACAAGCAATTATCCTCCTGAGACCCTCCGTCCTCATGTGAGGACATGTCATTTTGGGTTTACTTGACCTTATACTTCATTCTTCTCGATTTAGACCTGCTGTCCTCGTTCGTGGACACTTTTTAGTGCCATCTAGTGGTAGTAAGAGCCCAATACACTAATTTGTATAAAAACAAGATGGCAGCCATCTCTGTTAAGTCAGTCTGCAGCCAATCTCGACACAATCGTGGAGATGGTCTAAAACCTGATCACATTTTATAGTTGATTGGTTGATGGTTTATGTTTATAGTTTGATATGGCAACAAATTTTACCAATTTTAGCAACAGTAACAAGCTAAGACGTTATAGTCGTCTCATTTGAGGACATTAGGGCTTAATTATCATTTACAGTGCTTAGATTTTTATACTAATCACATCCTACTGATCCAAAATAGCTAGGAGAAATTACAAATGCATACCAAACACAAGTTCAGGTCTCAGGAGGTTATTAAAAATGTCCTCATGCTGTCGTCACAAGGCACAAAAGCAGATGTGCATGTCTGAAAATGGATCTGACCATAACAAGATGAAAGGCAGTGTTATTCAGACCCCCACTTATTTATTATTGTGTCAACCCTTAACAGACACTGGCATGTTTAGGCCCGCCGTGCACATAGGCCAAATGTTGTGGGGAGTGATGTTTACTGCCACAGTGAAACAGGTTTGTCTAGGAGAATTATTTTGCCCGCGTCATATGTGCCCAAAACATAACGACTGGGACGTGGGGTTAAAATGCGCTTGCGTAAGACGGGTGGACGTCTTTTTTTTTTTTTTAAGAGGAAACGATAGCCCCACAAAAATAACTTCGCTATGTGCCTCACCGGATCCCATAATAGAGATGCTGGGGCACAATCGATTGCGCGAGGCAAACACACCATCATAGATGTATTGTGCTTTAAAGCAACGCACACATACACACACACACACAAGGCCAATTCACGCCGCATTGCCTGGCCAGCTGCTGTGAAATGTGTGCAGGAGAAAAATAACACTGGCCTGGTCGTGTGTGTGTGTGTGTGTGTGTGTGTGTGCGCACCAGCCGTGTAGTGGAAATATAAGCTCCCAGATGGACCTACCTTATGACTTTCATTAAGATGATATGCGCCTCACTCCCTCAGCTGCTTATGGTTCCGGTTATCGTCCGCCAAGCCGTGTATGTTGAGTCAAAGCTACAGCCATGTCGAGTCATTTTTTTTCTGTGATAAGAGAAGCCCGCCTCTTGCTCCACGCACACGCTAACAACTTGTGGGGGATGCGGCGGTACAGGAGCTCCGTGTCCGCGGCAGCTTTGCGGTGTTTACCGAGAATCCCATCCGACACGAAACGTGCATGATTGCAGAGGTGCGGATCATGCAGCTCGACACTCGATTACAGGAGCGATGATGGGGGGGGGGGTGTTGGTGTGTGAGGTAACTCTCTGCCTCTCTCCTATAGGGCTCAAATTACAGCTGAATTCTTAAAGATACACACACATTGACACTACCACAGTGGCCTCTGTGTCTATTTATAGCCAAGGCTGGTTGGACCGATCCAGGATAAATCAGACAAGATAGCCCAGTAAAGCAAACTGCAGCCGTGGCCCACTGCTCTTAGTATCAATGAATCCTCCGCTGACATCTTTTACATTCATCTCACTGTGCCATATTTGTCACACACAGTCTGTAAGGCCCAATGAGCACCTCAGATGCACACGACTATAAACATCTTTGGTTTGTGATTAACAGAGAGGCTGCAGTGTTAGAGAACATGCAGCAGCAGAAGCCCCAGCTCCCAGTGTCCTATTAAGCCTCTGATGTCACGGTGTCCCTCCTGAGGTGTCAGCCAAAGTGCAGAGTCCACCCTTACACATTAGGGGAGACTGGGGTAAGATGAGCCACTTTTCATATTCAGGATCACTACTTCAAGGCTATTATAGTTTTGTTGCTAACTAATATATGTGCATATATTTCAGGATGTTGTGCATCCCTACAAACAAACAGAATGAGTGTAAACATAACTGTTTTGATAATATAGCATGTCCAAAAGTGGTCTCGTGGCTCAACTTACCTCATGTCTGGGGTAAGTTGAGCCATCTCCCTCCTTCCCTCCCCCTGCCCTCCCTCCTACCCCCCTTCCCCCACCTCACCTTCTCTCCTCCCCCTTTCTCCCTCCCTGCCTGGGTTAAGATATTCCAGCTATACATGTCTGTACTGAATTAAATAAGACGCTTCTTCAAATCCATGTGTATTTTTATTTATAATACACAATTCAACAGGTACAAATCTTTTTTAAAATTATTATTGCATATAACAACTTCAAAACATTTTAACATAGGCCTGAGAATGCCTTAAAGTGCGCTTAGCAAGAGAACTCTAACAGCTGTGTTTTTGGAAAGAAAACACAACTAAATCCGTAGACGTGAATCCTAGTTTGGTGTCCTTGCTAACAGGAGGGCCAATTGTTGAAATGAAGGTATTATAATAATTTGAACTTGTTTATTAACACATTTGAGCATTCTGAACCAAAACTCTCATTCTCTCATCATCCTTCCTCTATATGTCCTCCTTCATCCTCTCTAAACTCCTCCCTCCATCTTACTCTTGTTCCATCCACCCCCCTCCTTCCTTCCATCCATATCCCACCTGCCCCTTTACTCAGTATCCCACCTGTCCAGGTTGCAGGGGAATACAAATTGCTGGGACTCTGAGGTTTGGGGAGTTTTGCGATTACATCGCTTCTTGGGAAGAATCCCTCATCTTTCGCCTTGAAAGTAAAACTTGGTTTACCATATCCAGCTTTGCCTCTTCTCAGAAACTTATGGCTCAACTTACCCCTGTTCAAATTGCTCAACTTACCCCATAGCTACCATATTGACTTTATTAGCCCTCGCAGCTAAAATGGTGCACTTTCATGTTAGTTGTACTACCTCATTTTGTAGTTAATAGATACCACAATTGATGTATAAAACAAATTAAAAATGATCTATTTTGGTCTAAACACAATCCCCATTAAACTTGTGATAGACTAAATTTACTTTCATGAGTGAAAAATGCTTTTTTGGACATAAATCTCTAACCACTTAACTCATGTGGTTCTTACCTTCACAGACTCCATAAAATGATGCCTTCCTCCTAAATATTTGGTCACACGCTCAATTTTATTTACGGTTTCCTAGCAACAAGGGTTGGCTCAACTTACCCCAGTCTCCCCTACCAGAGGGCAGACGGCAGATTGAATGACCACTGGTTACAGTTTAACATGACAAGTACCCAGTGCCGGTCCTAAGCAAGGTTCCCTTGCCCACCCACCACAAAAATGATTAGGGATGCATGATGTCATATAACTTTGTTGTATATCGTCTCACGTGCCCATGCAACTGTTTTTATGTAGGACGCACTAAAAGACGCCTTAAAGTAATACGCCGATGATTTGGGAGTTACGCCCTTTCTCTGTCATTTTCATATTGAGACAACATTCGATATCTTTTTTGTGTCTGTACGTCCAGTGGCTGGGTCTCAGTGGTTAGCATTGCGGCTTAGCTTAGCAAATACAGTTGAAGTCTATAGGGGGTCAGTAGCCTACTCGGTAAAAGTGAACAAATAAACGTTACAGAAACCCTGAAGCTGGTATTTCTACACGTGCATTTAAAATAAACATGTTTAAACATTAATTCGAAAAACGAGTCCTTTTTAGTCGTTTTAGAAGAAGTTTGATACACGGAACTATAGTGTGTTTACGTCCTGCGCTGTGATCCTCGTAGGGATACACTGGTGAGCACAGGCACAGACATAGCCTGTAAACAAAACTCAGTTGTTCATTTAGCCTAACGATATCTCCGGACTATTGTAGCTGCAATGGATGACTTTGAACGCGATTTTGAAGACTTTCTTGTAGCGCACAGATCCAGAGCCATACCTGTTTGAGCCGGAGCATACAGATGAGGAACTCCAGGTATTGGATGCTAAGCGGGCGAGAAGAGAGGCTGAATCCTCTGAGGCAGCGGAACAGCAAGGGGCCAAGGGGAGACGGAGGTCAGGGGAGGATTGATGGTGTAGCTGCGGGGCTTGCCAACCTATGCCTATGGAGGTGGAATCATTTTGCTGCACAAAATGGGATTTGGTCCTACCATCTTTGGGGAGGCTAGAGATATATCATCAGGAGGAAAACCGCCGCAGACAGTGCATCACAAGGAGTGAAAACTTTGCAGCAATCACTAATCCTGGCGTGACTGAAACATATTTTCATGTTCCTAAGATAAACTGGAAAAAACGCCCCAGGCCTGCAGGAGCTGATGGACAGCTTTCAGTCGAGTGAGTAATATCGCTTTATAATGCACATTTACAGTGCCTTTTCATCTAGCCTGTAGATTTGCCTTGAATGTTTTTGCAAGTTGCAATAATACATTTTCGAGGCATGATCGTCCATGTCGTCTCTTTGTTTGCTTAGACCGAGTGACCTAGCGTACCGGTCCCAGAGCCAGCTGCAGCCTTTGCTCTCGTTTTTCAAATTAATGTTTAAACATGTTTATTTTAAATGCACATGTAGAAATACCAGCTTCAGGGTTTCTGTAACATTTATTTGTTCACTTTTACCGAGTAGACTACTGACCCCCTATAGAATTCAATTGTATTCGCTAAGCTAAGCCGCAATGCTAACCGCTGAGACCCAGCCACTGGACATACAGACACAAATAAGATATCGATCATGTTGTCTCAATATGAAAATGATAGAGAAAGGGCGTAACTCCCAAATCATCGGCGTATTCCTTTAAAGATTTCAGAACATTAGGACGCAGACTGAGGACGGCCCCATGGCGAAACACTTCAAAGAGGTGCATACTAGTAATGATTCCTTATTGAGAATAGAAGGTTTAGAATCAATACAGACGTCCACTAGAGGTGGAGATTGTTTATGCAGACTTCTCCAGAGAGAAACTTCTTGGATCTTTGAACTCGATGCAATGATACATCCAGGTTTAAATGCGGAGATTGATTACACACCCTTCCTTTAAATATGATGTTGTCTTGTTATTATTCTGATTCTTTTCCTTATTTATTAGTTATTATTATTGTTATTATTATTATTATTAGTAGTAGTAGTAGTAGTAGTAGTATCATCATTATTATTATTTTTTAAATCAATGGATATCATAGGACAGAAACACTAGACATTATTTATGTTTTTGGTACGGATACATTTTTTTTTTTTTACCTTTTTTAACCTGCATATTTTTGATATTTGGTCAGAAATTTTTCATTTTAGTACAAGTTTTTTCTTCCTTAAACACTTGTGGAGGCGTTTCGTCTCATCTCATCTCATCTCGTCTCGTCTCGTCTCGTCTCGTCGTCTTCCGCTTATCCGGGTCCGGGTCGCGGGGGCAGCAGCCTCAGCAAAGAAGCCCAGACAGTCCTTTCCCCAGCCACCTCCGTCAGCTCTAAAGTTAAATTAGTTATATCAATATTGGTTTCAGTTATCGGCCAATATCGTGCACCCCTAAAAATAATTATTACCTTTTATTTATGACAAACAAGAACAAGAGCTAATCAGATATTAACACAAATAAATAACTGAGCGAGCCTTGTTCTTGATCTGTGATCACTCGCCTGGTTACCCGAACAAACCTTGTGTTTTAAATAAATGTTATTGTTAAGGTAGCATAGGGGTGCGAACACACCCTGAGGTATTGTTTATTTAAGTGTAAATACTGAAGTTGTATGTTTGATAGCAAATATGGGTCTGCCAGCAACTTATTGTTTGCCTGTGGTTAGACAAAGATTAACATGTGTTGTGTTTAATTCACAGGCAAAGTGCTGATTGCTGTTTATTTTATATGATATTTGGGAGTGGGAGTTCATCCGTTGAGTTGTGGTGATATAATTTAAGGTTTGGTATCACTGGCTGTAGTTTGGGTGTTTTTCTGTTGGAAAAGGGGTTTATTTTGTGTGTAGTTTTGCTTACCCACAGAAAGTATACATCCAGTACACTGGCCTATAGATTGGTGTGCCACACCCTCTGCAGCAAGACGCTCTGATTTTTAATTGTTTTTTATAATATTGCTGTTAGGGACCCTGAATTTAATAAAAGCCTGTGATGGCATTTCGACCCACACTGACTGTTGGCTTCATTATTGAAGTTCACCTGTAGTTACATGAAAGGGAACTTGGGTATTACACTTGTCTTCCTCTTTTTCTTTTTTTATGTACTGCCCCCAGATGGCTTTTGCCTTTTCATTTTTTCTTTTGCTGGTGCTCTCTAAATGCACTGTATTCTACCATATCCATTAATGCTTTCGCCTGTTGTGACTGTAATGATCACTCTCTGATGAACTATATACCATGTACTATTACAGACAGGAGGCATCACCGGTGGTCGCCTTTGCCATCTATACAGTGCGGCAGGGGTGCTGTTTTTCATAGGCCAAAGCAGAAGTTAACATAGGTTCCTTTGTCAAAAAGCCAATTGGAATTTTCCATGGCGTTTAGATAATTGCAGAAAATTAGCTCTGTGGCAAAAGTTTGATACTCACATTTTGTTCAGCAAGTGTTCAAAAATGAACACCACTTTTATGATATGTGAAGCTTAAACAGTTGGCAGAAGTAAAAAGCTTTTA